ACCAGTTAAAGGTACAATCCAGACCAATTGAAAGTAAAATCCAGACCAATTGAAAGTAAAATCCAGACTAATTAAAGGTGCAATCCACACCAATAAAAGGTGCAATCCAGACCAATTAAAGGTACAATCCAGACCAATTAAAGATACAATCAAGACCAGATAAAATTTTCTAAAGTAAAGTATTTATAGTGTAAAGTGAAGCTTGTTTCACTCTGACAGCTAAAGTTTTGAAAGTACCCCCGGTAGACAGAAACTATAAAACTTAAAGGGCGGTAGTCATCGCACCACGCATGCGCGAGATATAGGGGTCTCATATAAACAAAGACTTTAACTGTTGTGTAGATCAACGAGTACAAACTGAGACATTACCAAGCTTCAATTAGCTATGAATCTCTTGCTACGTGTATTTTGGGTGTAAAGTGGAGTCTACATATCTCATTTCAATCAAATGTCATCATTATAGGCAGATGTTGTAATATGATAACTGAATACAAATAAAACAACATTAGACATAACATTTTATGTCAGATACCTTGGCAGGTTATACATTCAGGTTGACGAAAATATTTGGAGAGATATTTGTTCTTTATATCAATCATTTTTTGTGTAAGATAATAAAAAACAATTGAATGATTTGGTAAGAGAAGAAAGTTATAAACTACATGTACATTTTGTGTTGTGATATACATGCAATGAATATACTTCTGGGGGGGGGGAACTTGCAAAAAATACTGACAGGGGTGTGTAGCTGGTAGTTTGAAACCCCTATCCCTTATCAGACAGAAATAATCTCAAATTGCCTACCCCTTTTCAGACAAACTGTGGATATATGACACCCCTTTTCAGACAGTAAACATAAATGGTTCCAAGGGGAAAGCAGGTAGGCTTGAAAGAAAAAATGCAAAATGTTGCAACAGTATGATTTAGTATGTATATAGGCTATCATTATGTTTCTGCACTTAAAAAGGGGTATAATTCCACAAAAGTAAGTACGTGTTTAGAGGCTTTTTTGAAAAGCTATATTTCAGCATAGGTATCAGGTCTGACTTTGAATAACCCCTCTGGGGAAGCACCACAGTCCTTGCACTGTTTTGTTTGATATGGGTTCCATGCGATACAATGTGTGTAGTACATAGTTTGTTTACACTAAATTGGAACCTATAGCACAGCAACTGTTGCACTTTAAATCTAAATAAATCCAAGATTTGCACATTACAGTACTCCCTTCATTGCCACAATCAAACTTGTATATTTGGAGAGTACGCTATGCTTACTTGAATGGGCATGGGAGGTACTGCACTTAACCAAGTGGTGGTGGTGTTTGGTTTTGGTGATTGGTACTAACAACTAATTAGCATACATTGTGTATATACACTCAATACACATTCTGAAATTTATTGTCTCATTTCACAACCTGTGTTATATATGGATATGTAAATTTTTGAATCTGATTTCTGTAGACATTTTCAAAAACTTTTTTCATTGCAAAGAATCAAATAGTGCTCATTACTACGCCCAAGCACCATAGATGAGCATTTCATCTATGTCATACACACATGTTTACAATTTCTTTTTTTTTTTCCCGGCATATCAGGATGCAAAGCGAAAAAATCTACACTCACATAGAGTTGGAGATTTATCACCAAAGCAAGTCAGAAGAATTGCAAAGTGGAAGGAAGAATTTGGAAATGATGAAAAAGCTGAAAAAATGTCAGAGACGCTGAAAAAACTGTATGTAGCACGAGATAAAGGAAAGGTAGAGATGAAGAAAGAACAGGAGGAAGAGAAAGCACTTGAAAAAGAACGAGAAAAACAGAAAGCCAAAGAAAAACCCAAAACAGTAATTTATGTACATGATTCTGAAGATGACACATAAAAATTCACAATCAAAGAATTCAAAATGTTGGTGCTATTTCTTCAGTGTGGATTCTAGTGTCTGCTTTCAGTAAATTATTAGTGCAATGTACCTAGTACCTGCAATCAACACATGACAATGTATAATATAAAATATGTATAAGATGCCATGGCTTCTATTATTTGGTACAATGGAACAAAGGGGATACAGCTTCTATTAGAGCATATACACATACTGTATAAGAAATGGTGAATTTTCTAATACAGATTTTACATTAGCTATAAATTTTTTTACGTACAATAACAATTGGCATAGTTGAAGTAAATGTTTTTCCCAAAGAGATATTATTATATTCATACCATGATTGATATTTCTCAGGCACTATATATTAAATGAGTATGTACACAACTACATTACAGATATTCCAACCTTGACACTGACGATTGTTTTGTTTTTTAGCTCCGCTGTCGACTTTGTCGAGTGGAGCTTATCTATCATATGAGTGATTGTCCGTCGTCGTCGTCCGTGTCAATGTTTTACTTTTTCGACTTCTTCTTGAAAACTACAAGCCTGAATGCTCTGATACTTGGTGTGTATGTACCTAGGGTAGACCTGTCTTAATTTGTTCATTTCATGATTATATCTTCAATTCTCTAATTTTGGTGAATATTTTTGTAATTTTTGGTAAAGTGATATTTTTGACTTCTTGTTAAAAAACGCAAGTCCCATTGCTTTGATATTACAAA